TGTTGGAAGAAGAGAGTTCCGCTTTCGAACGGGTTGATTGACCTCAGTCTTGGTACAAAAGCTCTGATCAAAATGAGGAAAGACAATTCTACTTTAAAATAAAGAAAGATACCTTAACTTTGATCCTCATTGGAGTGCTCCTGAGTAGCATGATGTTTATGAACTTTTGGAATTAGCAATACCAATTATCTAGAGAATTTGGAATGTTTCAGTACATGTATTTCGTATGCATCAAAATGAACCGAACTTGACAAGCCTTGTCTTAAGATGTTTAAGATAATGTTATGTATTGAGTTTACTATTTCTGATTGGTTTGTGACAGTACTATTTACTGGAGGAGTTCATATCCTCCATATAAACACCCTTTGCTAAGAAAAATTTTGTATGGCTAAGTTCCACCATGAAGAATGTCAAAGAGTTGCTTGAACGAACTGCTCCTTGCTCATTATAACTTCAATCTATATGCATAAATTACACCAGCTCCATACTTGTCATGTAAATCTCTATCTGATATGTGCCTTCAATGGTTAATTTTATGTTGCAGAAGTACTGTCTTTTAAACTGAACCACCATGGAAAAACTTGCCTGGACTGAAGAAACAAAGAGAAGACTAGGGATTCAGAGCAAGGGCCTCGCATGCAAACCACTTGGAAATCCTACCACAAATGAGCACAGAATTGTTTTTTTTAGTTGTGTTATTATATGCTAGCCTTCTGATAACATAGAACAAGTATACTGCAGTCACTGGATTTTTGTTTCCCAACAGAATCTAAGCTCAACTAACGTAGGTAAACTAAAAACTGCAAATCCAACAACTGCTAAATCAAATTTTATTGAAAAGAATGTACTAGACTTCAATTATTAAATTTCTGCAATGAGGGGCATCATTCTGTATTAGTTAAGAGCGATGCCGCTTTAGCAGGTTTTCTCTTTGAAGAGTCAAGACCAAACTAGTACCTAAGAGGCAAACTGCCTTTTGAATAGTTTTCAAACGACTACTAGAACCAGGGGAGCTAAAGGCTTTGTGGCCCCAAAATAGTTCAAAAACTGTCCCACAGTGAAGGTCTATGGAATTCTGTTACTAATTGACATTGTAATATATTTATGTACATGACATCAAAACTTTTTCAATTGTAAAATTATTTGCTATATTGAAAAGCATTTACAATATCCAAGCATAATAATTCACACTTCCACACCTTTACAATCACCACCATGATGATGCCCAAGAAAACAAATTGCTTGAAAAAATAATAATAATAATAACCCAAACAAAAAGCTATCTTCTTTTCTTTCTAGCATCAAGGAACAAACACAAATTACAATTTGGAAGACTTCTATTTTTGAGACTTGATGTTAAGGTCCAACTTCATGGTGGATGTCCAGAAGAATTCTCTAAGCCAGAGGCGGTTTCTTCTGTTTCGGAATGGGTGTATATTTAGTAATAAAAAACAATTACTTGCACAGGATTTGCTTCTTGGAGTCGAGCATTTTTCTCACTGTATATGCCGGTCACTATTTAGTGGCCTCTTAAACTAAAGACAAGATTTTTTGTTGGACATCTTAAAAATATTTTAAAATACAACTCAGAACATGATTATAGGCCTCAGACAAGAAAATAGTGGCAAATTACTTTGTATGGAGATAAGGATTATGTTTTAAAACCACTGAAAAAGACTCGTGAAATGATCCAAAAATGTCAAATGACCACGTCTACACCAACTGTTTATCTTCTAAGACAGTTCAACTAAAACACCATCTACTTCCATATTTAATTCCTTGACCTCCATGTTTACAGAGTGTTTGCAATCATGTTTCTATCAACGAGAATAAATATGTGTGTATATATTAAGCACCAAAAAGGACACGTGTTGCGTGTTTGAAGGGTGTCTACTGTGTTTGTTTCTTGGGAAAGCCAAGAGAAAACTGATTTGAATGAGATAGAAATGCCTGAAGGGTTGCTCCTGAACATAATGTCCAGATGCCAAGCTAGAGAATTTTTTATATTTAATGCAGGAAAGCATTGACTTCCTTTCATTTTAGCAGATATAAGACATGGAAAATTCTTGGTCAACATCTGCTTGAATTGAATAATAGCAGAAATAAGAAGCTGCGGTTGTGAATAAAAGCTTCCAATGGATTGTGACTCATATGTAGTGCAAATGAATTGTCCCTAGTGAAATATCCCTCTGACTATAATGGCTTTTGAACTAGCATATGCTTTCTGCTTACTGCTTCTCCTTCTACACCTGCCATTTCCCACCACTGCTCAAACTAACAAGAACATACCTTTGGGTTCATCCCTCACTGCAGACAATAGCTCTTTTTGGGCCTCACCATCTGGGGAGTTTGCTTTCGGTTTCCAAGAAATTGGTAGAAACGGCTTCTTACTTGCCATCTGGTTTAACAGAATTCCAGAAAGAACTATTGTGTGGTCAGCCAATGGTAATAATCTAGTGGCCAAAGGATCCAAAGTTGAGCTCACTGCAGATGGACAGTTTAGGCTCAATGATGCTACAACAGGCAAACAAGTATGGGTTGCTGATTCTGCTGGTACCGGAGTTTCCTATGCAGCCATGCTTGACACTGGAAATTTTGTGCTGGCTAACCGAAGTTCAATCAATTTGTGGGAGAGTTTTGATCAACCAACTGATACAATCCTACCTTTGCAGACTCTAAATCAAACAAGCACACTCTTTGCCCGCTACACAGCAACAAATTACTCAAAAGGAAGATTCCGTTTTGCACTACAACCGGATGGAGACCTCTTGCTTTATACAACGCACTTCCCATTGGATTCTGCTAATACTATCTATTGGTCAACCGACACTGCGGGTGGTGGTTATCAGGTCATCTTCAACCAGTCTGGCTCTATTTACCTTACTGCCAGGAACAGAAGCATACTTCATATGATATCAAACAGCACAGTTTCAACCCAAGATTTTTACCAGAGAGCAACTCTTGACTATGATGGAGTTTTGAGGCACTATGTCTATCCTAAAAGCACTGGCTCAAGTGCTGCTGGGTGGCTCAAGGCTTGGACCAGTTTGTCCTTCATACCTCCAAATATCTGCATGACAATTTTGCAAGAGAAAGGCGGCGGTGCATGTGGTTACAACAGTATATGTAGACACGACCAGGGAACAATTTGCCAGTGCCCACCTGGTTATAGCTTCATTAATCCAGATGATGTGTTGAAGGGATGCAAAAAGAACTTCATTTCACAAAGTTGTGATGCTGCCTCACCAGAGACAGATCATTTTTATTTCCAAGAGATGCAAAACACAGATTGGCCTAAGTCTGAATATGAGAAGTTTGAAGTTGTAACTGAGGATTGGTGCAGGCAGGCTTGCCTAGCTGATTGTTTCTGTGCCGTTGCCAATTTCAGAAATGGCCAGTGTTGGCTGAAGGGAAGCCCCCTTTTGAACGGGAGGGTCGACCCCATTAATGGTGTAACAGGTCTAGTCAAAATAAGGAAGGAAAATTCAACCATGGGACCTGGTGGTGGATATTCAAAAAAGAAAGACAATTCAACTCTGATCGTACTTGGATCGGTGCTCCTGAGTAGCTCAGGGTTTCTAAACTTCCTTTTACTGCTAACAATCTATTTGGTTGTTTCACGCATCTATTACAGAGAAGCAAAGGTGAGTCAACCTTATCTCGTCATAAATTTGAAATATTTCACTTATGAAGAGCTAGAAGAAGCTACCAATGGATTCAAGGAAGAACTAGGCCATGGTGGTTTTGCAACAGTTTTCAAAGGAGTTTTAGGGGCTGATATGGGGAAATTTGTTGCTGTCAAAAGATTAGATAGTATGGTTAAAGAAAGTGAGTGGGAATTCAAAGCTGAAATGAGCGCAATTAGCAGAACGAACCACAGAAATTTAGTCCAGCTACTAGGATACTGCAACGAAGGGGAGCACCGAATGATTGTATATGAGTTTATGAGCAACGGCTCTCTAGCTGGCTTCCTCTTTGGAGAGTCAAGGCCAAACTGGTATCAAAGAAGGGAAATCGCCTTAGGAATTGCAAGAGGTCTCTTGTATTTGCATGAGGAGTGCAACAGCCAAATCATACATTGTGACATTAAGCCTCAAAACATTCTTCTAGACGACTCTTTCACTGCAAGAATTTCAGACTTTGGATTGGCCAAGTTTTTGAAAATGGACCAGACTCACACTACCACCGGAATGAGGGGAACTAGAGGCTATCTGGCCCCTGAATGGTTTAAAAACATGCCAATCACAGGGAAGGTAGATGTTTACAGCTATGGCATTATGTTGCTGGAGATTATTTGCTGCAGGAGGAATTTTCAAGAAGAGGCAGAGGATGAAGATCAAATGGTTCTAGCTGATTGGGCATACGATTGCTATGAGCAAAAGAAAGTGCATCTGCTATTACAGAATGATGATGAGGCAATGGAAGACATCAAAAAGTTGGAGAAGTATGTGATGATCGCAATATGGTGCATTCAGGAGGATCCATCACTGCGACCCACGGCAAAGAAACTGACAATGATGCTCGAAGGAACCGTGGAAGTATCAATTCCCCCAGACCCTTCCTCATTTACAAGTTCAATACAGTAAATGCTTGTATTGTATGCATGTTAGAGCATCAAAAGACTCAAAACCATCAACTTGGTGAGGCAGGCAGTCTCAGTGTTTCCGGGTACATTCCTTTGTGTTCATTCATTGTCATTAATTTTCAGGTAAATACATACATTTACTGAAATTGCAGTAAATTTCTGCATTTTCACTTGATTCAAATCAACATAAAAAACTTGAATGGATTGAATAACAAAATGGGTCAATCAAGGCAAGCCATTTAAACAAGTCTGAAGCTAAGATCAAGCAAAAGATTTCATCTTGCAGTGTCAAAAGTCTAAGCACGTGTTGGACATTTATTTTGAAATATTAAAATAATTCATGTCTAGATGGTTGAATATTTCGACAAAACCAATTCAGTCTTCAAATATAAACTAGTCAATTTAAGCATGGAATTCAATTAGCAAGCAAAGATTTACCATTCAACCTTCAAGATTCAAACTTTACATATCCACTTCCAAATCCCACCAAAAAGCATGAAGAATCTACTACATACTGTTAATTCCAAAACCCTAGATTTCGGGTTTCTAAGCCCTCTCCCCCCTAATCCTACGAGCAAGCTGGATGTCCTTGGGCATAATGGTGACCCGCTTGGCATGAATGGCGCAGAGGTTGGTGTCCTCAAAGAGACCTACCAAGTAGGCCTCCGCCGCCTCCTGCAGCGCCGCCACTGCGCTGCTCTGGAACCGGAGATCGGTCTTGAAGTCCTGAGCAATCTCTCTCACAAGCCTCTGGAACGGAAGCTTGCGGATCAAGAGCTCAGTGCTCTTCTGGTACTTCCTGATCTCTCTCAGCGCCACAGTCCCTGGCCTGAAACGATGAGGCTTCTTCACTCCACCAGTAGCGGGAGCCGACTTCCGAGCAGCCTTTGTTGCCAGCTGCTTGCGAGGGGCCTTCCCTCCGGTGGACTTACGAGCAGTCTGCTTGGTACGAGCCATTGAGAAAAAACGAAATCGAAGGTCTGAAGGATTTCGATTGACTGTGTTTGTTTCTCGAGAATATTGGAGAAACTTGATTTAGATGCGATGGAAATGGTGGAAGCTTTGGGGGTATTTAATTGCTGATTTGGGGAGTGGAATCGCGGGAACTTCGAAATTTTGTGTTTCCGGTGAAATGTTTTGGAGGAGGAGAGGCGGGAATCTGAGCCGTTGATAAGTCTTAAAATCGAGGGCCGTGGTTCCTCGATCCGTAGCACTACGAACCAGCCAATGGGAGCGTGCTTTACCTTTTGTAAAGATGGTTCAAGAATGGGCTGTTTGTTTTTGGGCTTAGTGCCTCCAATATCAACAGCAGGCCATTCTACTCTTAAAACAGACCCTTCAAATTTCTTCCACTAAATTGGCCCAGAAAAATGAAAAAGACAAAATAATAATAAATTATGCATCTAAAATCCCGATTATTATCAAACCCTAGACAATGAAGATTCGTTGCAATTGATTTTTATTAGGGTTCACAATGGGCTGTAAATCAAAAGAAAATATATTTAAAACACGCGTTATAACATTAACGTATTAACAACATAGGGTTAATGACCTAAATGGTCCTCCAACTATCGCAAAATTATCATTTTGGTCCACCAACTAAAATTTTCAATTCAAACGTCCTTAAACTTTTTATAATGTACCAAAATCATCCTTCCGTCAAAGTCTGTGTATTATTCCGTTAAATATACTCACCTAAAAATACGGTTTTGTCCCTCGATTTAAAGAAATAATACACAAACTTTGACGGAAGGACGATTTTGGTACATTATAAAAAATTTAAGGACGTTTGAATTGAAAATTTTAGTTGGTTGACCAAAATGATAATCGCGCGATAGTTGGGGGACCATTTAGGTCATTAACCCTAACAACATATTATGCAAATGATGTTACGATCACATTGAAAAAAGATTTCCACTTGCTTTCCCATAATTCATAAATGTACACACACCCAGATAAGAATTATGACTTACATTTGTCTAGCTATACATGATTTAGAAATCCTACTGTGTGATATTGTTCTATAATATGTATATTTCTATTCTCTAAATTGAGCTAAAGGGTGCCTATTTGCAAGACCTCTATGCATAACAAGTTAACAACAATCAAAGAGGAGGAGAGCAAAACAAGGAAAAAGCACATCACATCACAAAATGAAGAGCCAAAAAAAAAAATTCATACCCAATTGCTAGAAAGTGCAAAATCATGGAACCTAAAAGAGGATTCTCCAGCTGTATCTCTCTCAAGCCTGACCTCTGATAATCTCTGAGAGACACCTTCACTGCTACTTTCATCTTCAAACACTTCTTGTGGAAGAGGTTGTATTTGGTTCTCATTTGGTTGTCTAGCCAACTGAACCTCAGGCGGCAATGGGATGATTGGCGGGGGAGAGGCGCTGCTCCTGAACCTGGTTTGGCCTGCACTTGGAGAAACGACGGCTCGATCCCACATGAAGACATGCATGGAAATAGGAACCTTGGCGTGCCGGTGGAGGGAGAGCTTCTGGCTGAGAGAAATGGTGTCGAAGCATCGAACTGCTCCGGTTGAAGAAACCATCCAAGGGAGCACCTTCTGGTTTGAGACCCTTGAGACCACCAGCAGCCTTGATGCCTCCATTGCTTCCTCGTACAAATTGCTCAGCCCCGATCGGCTTGAAGGCGTGTTTTCATCACCATCTACGACTGATGAAATGTATATAAACCCCTGCCAATGACAATAGGTACGATTTATCAAGTAATCCTTCAGATTATATTATTTGACAGATTGGATTCACTTGTTACACGCAATTGTTGTAATTAAACTAAACAGATACATCAACTGTTACATAATATGTTTACCTCTTCTGTGCGGCTAATGGCGAAGCCAAGCTTAAAATCACCTTCTTGTAATTTGATCTCAATAGGGATTTCACCCCCAAGAGGAGCATACCAAAGTCGAACGGCTCGGACTACACCAATGTCAACCCCATGGTAATCTTCAAAACCATATAAGCTTGCGCTTGCAAGATCAGCTAAGTCAGATAATGACCCTGCATTTACAGTGGAAGAAGCTGTCTCTCCAGAAATCTGCCATAAATGCAATGCAACAAAACCAAAAAACACACACATCTATTACACTCTTCAACTCAAACTGGAACTTTAATTTTGAAACACCTATAGAAGTTAAAATAGCCCTACTTGTGCCACATAATCAAAGATCTTCATTAAAATACCTTTGTAAGGAGGGACTCAGTCTGGATGTTCATGAAGACGACGGGGACGCCGGAGGCCTGGGAGGCGATGAGCCAGACATTAGCCCTAGCAAGGGTGTCCTCCAAGTCGTTGTAGCGAGAAGCAGATCGATCTGAAGCCTTTGGAAGGAAGAGGACAGATATAAAGCCACTGGAATGGGGAACTGCTAGCATCTCCTGCATTCTCCTTTCCCATGGATATGAGACATACCCATCTTGAAGCCTACCTCTTGTCAGCGCACTCACCATCCTCGAGTTCCTTGAAGCTGCACATTTATGAAACATACATGCACCATGCATGCATTCAACTCATCATCATCTATTTCACACTTTTTTGTTTTTTAAAAGTGATCATGGAACAGTGCTACTATTATTTAATTAAACAATAAAAGTTGAATTGAACTATTAATTGATGGGACATAATTTACTCATATCACCATCATCACATCATTCATCTCTTCCAAGTGGGAATGTAATGCACATGTACAACATTAGTCCAATATCCAAACTATTGTAATGATGTGTATGGAAGTTGGCCGGAGAGAAAAGTCACGAGTCTCCACGTGTAGAAGTTGTTGTGTGCTGCCTAAAGGTGGTTTTGCTTTCATACAACGAAACGCATGCCCAAAAAAATATCACCAAGTGGCCCAATTAATACATAGATATTACCACCACGGCAATAACAAAATATAAAGGCAAAATGTCACTATTCCTCTTTGCTATTCCCCGCAATTTAAGGACACATTTAAATTTCTATTCATCTCTCTTATGTAATAAGCATGATATAGAAGGTTGTTTTGGAAGGAAATTTTGTACATAATTTGACAAAATTTACAACATATCATTGAATTATGACGGATTTTAAATTCAAATTTACAAAATTAAAACAACGGGACTAGAGTGGTAAAACCGACACACTACCTTGATCAAAAATTATCTTTTGCCTTGTATAATTGTTTTTCACATGAATTACAAAAAGGAAAAAGCAAAGTAATAGTTAGTCAACGCAAAAGTCAATGTGATGATGGGTAATGGTACCTTGGAGCTCGAAGCAGTCGGCCTCCGTGCGATCGCAGAAGCCGACGGTATAATTGGGGTCGGCAATGGACCTGAGCATGTACTGCTTGCTCCGACCGGAAGAGTCGTTCGGGACGATGCACGCCTGCAACTCCGCGAACTCGTCTCGGCCGCGTCGGACTTTGACGAGGATAGAAGTGTCCTTGGCTTTAAAGGAGGCGTGGAGGATCTTCTGGACGCCGCTCTTTCCGTTCTTAAACGGCGACTTGACGGTGACGGAGCTGCCGATACGGAGCTCCTCGACGATGTCTCCGGTCTGGAGCATGTCTCCAGTCCACTCGTCGGCTTTGGAGCTGCCTTTGAGGCATTCGATAGACAGCATCACAGGGGATTTGGGCTCTCGGGTCGGGGAGTCTGAGCTCGGTTGCGGTCGGTCCATGGTCATGATCTCTGCTTGATACGGTGCGTTTGACGCTTTTATATGTAAATGTTACTGTATGTATGCGTACCCCAGAGAGAGAGAGAGAGAGAGAGAGAGAGAGAGGGAGGGATGAAGGAAAATGGCTAGAGGAGATGATTTTGAAAAATTGTGTGATGGGCAAATGAGTAAAAGTCAATGAATTTGAAGGGGGGAGGGGCTGTTTTGGAGGTTTGTGGTTTTGTTTTTCACTCAAACTCAATTTCTCTGAATTTTCTCCAATATTTTGTATGCATAAAATAAATATCACTATCATATCAGATGCTACGAATATAATATATGATCCTAACTTATTATTTTTCCTAGCTAATGATGCTATGTTGAAACTTTAAGGTTTATGATATGATATTTCTTCCGGTGCACTTGCTCTCAGCTCTCTCTGTCATAATATTATTTTTCTTTTTAATTTGCTAGTTTTTTCACAACTGGGTATTTTTTTTTTTTTTTTTTGGTCTGACACAACTGGGTATTATTATATATGGAATTTGGATAAGAACATGGTACTGGGATTTACCTTGATACCTGGTAGTAGAAACTACATTATAGAGCTCAAAGCCCTTTCTTTTTTTTTCTTCTTCTTTGGAATGGAAGCGATTGGGGGATTGAGGTTTACACGAATATTCATTGAGTATCTAAAAATTTCAAACTTCTGCCCACACAAGTGATGGTGGAAGAGTTCAACCAAGTACTATATTCCACTCGCAAGCCCTTCTGTTTTTTATGACAAAAGAAAACACTTCCTTTATTATAATTCTATAAGTCATATACTCATCCTTTATTCTGAGGTTTTTTTATATTTAAAAAAGAAGTCAAATTTTTTTCAAAAAAGACAAAAAAACCACTCAACTTTCAAATCAAAGACATGCAAATGTATTGGATTCCTTAGGAAATCTACAAATAAATAAGGGCATTTTTGTCCATTTTTGCTTCTTTTAAAATTTTTCTCTCTCCTTTTACTTTTTCCAAAATGTCCCTTGATTCTATCATAAGCGAGAGAACTTGTAAGTTTTTTGGTCGAAGAGAACTTTAAGTTTGTAATATATAATTTAGAATCAAACTATTGATGGGGTCAGGTTTGCATCGGCCCGTGCACTTTTCATGCACTAGTTGTAAAAATGAAAATGAAAAATTCTTGGTTTCTCTTCATAAGTCAATATTCCTCGTCATAAAATATATAATAAAGTAAATAACGAGAAGAAGAAGACTAAGAAGAAGAAAAGGTAGGTACCATGCACCTACGGGGCAGGGGACAGCGGGCAGAGAGAAGAGGGCAGAGGGCAAAGCCATCGTTCTGGGACCTTGACCCTTCAAGCTTAATAAATATTTGTAGTTCGAAGATTTCCTAGGAAAAGTTTCATATAGCTCTGCTTATGGTCCCTCCATTTAATGGTTGCGGGTAGCCTATGTCTTTGTTCTACCCTTTTACTTGTTCAATTTTCTCATAATCTTTTCACTATTTTCTGATGAACTGTTTCTTGATTTGATTTTAACAAGAAAATTTATCGTAGTATTCTATAATTTCACCGTGATAATTTAATACCGTCTAGAAACACTTCCTTAATTACTAGTTAATTCTCTCAAAACGTAGGCACACAGAAGTGCTATAAGACTCTGCCCAGCCAGATGCAAGTTAAAGTTTAACATATCAAGTTGGCTTAAATAATCT